GAGGCACAGCAGCCCTCTGTCTGATGGACAGATGTGTTCATGATGACTTATATATTTACTAGTGCTGGGGGGAAACGATTATTTTTAAAACGATTAATCGGGCGATTATTTGATCGATTAGTCGACTAATGGAACGATTATTTTTATGTTGTTCAATTCATAAAAAACGTAATGTAAAAAAAAGTAATGTAAAAAAAAAAATGTTCACGATACTGTGTCTCAGGGGATCTTAATATTTAAGAACCTATTAATGTGTTATACCAGATTAACGGAAATAATCTCAGCTAACTGACGATACAAACCATGTTTACCAACACAAAACAAAACACAAGTCTCATAAAAAGCAAACTAAAATGCTATCTAAATGACCCCTGAGCGAAAAATGCTAACGGAATTGGCACAGAACTCAAGATAACCCTTATTACTTATCGTAGCTGCACATACAAGATATCATATATAAGATATAATATTAAAGCTGAGACTCCACAGATTATGTAGGTACATAGTATCATCACTGAGTGATCCGGACTCGCGACAGGGGAAGCAAATACAGTCATCACAACACGTACCTTCACAGAGCTTCTAGGGAGATCGTCTCACCGCCGTAGCTGTCAATCTGATCAAAATACGTGTTCAATGGCATTAAAATGAGAAAAAACGCGGCTGAATCGGTTAATCCATAGGTTTTTAACGTCTATGTATACAAAAATTATTGAATTTATAATCCATAATTCCATTTTTATGTAAAAATCGGAGAGCAAATGCTAGCTGCTAATGGTAGCCACCACAGCTAGCTGCTGCTTCTACTAGGCTATGCAGCAGTCTCAGTGAGATATAAATATATAAATATCTTTGCGTTTTGGACTAACTTTAAAATATTCCCATGCTTTTGAAGACCTAGGGCGAGATGTTTTCGTTTGAGGGCTTCGTGCGCAATCCTGTGAGGTTTCAGTCTCCATTGTGTTAGAAGTGCGATTGCGAACTGCTTGTTGCTTTGGGTGACCCACGTGTGTGTGGCGACCATATATACAGTCTATGGTGGCGACGCGTCGACGCGGAAATATGTCGTCGACGATATTTTGAAGTCGACGCGTCGCTACAGCACTAATATTTACTTTGAATTCATTCACAGTGCGGTATAATGAGACAATAACAGGCTACAGATGCGGACATTTATATAAATATATACAATTTCAGAATCAAACAAGTATGAGAGCACTCTCATAATAACGTGACACAATCAGACTGATATATCCCCCCCTCTCTCTGGTCGCTGAAATGGGGAATTGAAATTACGGGCCAAAAGTTGTATTTACAAGTATTAAAAGTAAGCATAGGACACCAAAACAACTGAGACCCGTCTGTCTGCCGCATCTACGCACTGTACAACACACACACTGTACCACACACACACCTACACACTGTACCACACACACACCTACACACTGTACCACACACACACCTACACACTGTACAACACACACACTGTACAACACACACACCTACACACTGTACCACACACACACCTACACACTGTACCACACACCTACAGCTCCTAAAGCATAATCAGGCTACAGCCTATTTTATTATGTGAAGCACTAAATGGTCTTAGAAAAATATCGACTCTTTGTTTGTAGATATCTACTAAACTACAGCATACAAATACAGAGAGTAGGCCTGTTATACTGAGTGATATATATTTTACACACTGCTCTGCTTTCTGCACAGACCTCACAGCTGTTCTCACTGTAAACATCGCGCCACGATGAAAGCAGTAGACTAAAATAATATCCAGGGGATGCATGCAGAGCTGTCATTGGCTGAGATAAGTCTGGCCGTGCGTCAAGCCTCCACCGTTCCCGGAAATGCATCCGTGGAGGATGCATCAGTGTATCCTCGGTTATAGCTCCTCCTCGATGCTCGATCCTCGAAGTGCATTTAGAGAAATTAGATGTCCTTCACCATGCGCGCTGAAATTCATTTCCGGGTCACTACCGGAGGACCGAGGAGTCGAGGAGGGGACATTTGAGAATTGAGAAGCCTCAGAGAGTCCTTTACCTCACTGAGCCTCTCAGTCTGACAGGAGAGCTCTCCTCCACCATGGTTGTAGAAACATCTACTTCTTTTATCCGTTAGCGCAGCTAGCACCAGATTCTAATAACAACAGCGCCGGTACCGGTGCGCCCTCTCTCTCTCTCTCTCCCTCACTCGCTCTCTCGCTCCCCCGCTCGCACTTTGGCTGTGAGCTGCGGGCGCCTGATAAGCCAACATCCCCCACTTTCATCACTTACATGGCCTATGTCAAAAACCGGCCCTGCCAGTACATATAGTGGCAATGTCTCAAGATTTAGCAAAAATACACCGTTATTGAACATACAGTAACACAAATACTACAAATCCACATAACAAACAATCAAAAACGAAAAAGGGTCGCCACTTATTAATATAATATTTGTATATAGGGGAAACACTGGATACTATTGGTTAAGTATTTGAAAATATAAACTGTAGAACCACAGAGTGCCCGGGTCTGCTCTGTGGACGGAAAATATCTCTGATGAACATCTCTGCCACCAATCTGATTATTAGTCTGAAAGTAGAGATCTGCAGCGAAAACATCCTCTTCTATATGACCCTGAGACATAAACACGGGTTTCAGGAATGCTCTCACAATCACTGACTTTCTCAGAACCACTTACTCTGCAGAAATGACCCCAGACCTTGTTAATATGGGCAGTGTGGTTAGGAGGGCCGGTGGAGTGAGGCTTCAGTTTGGTGGCTTGTAGCCTCAGCATTACAACAGCCCCGCCCCCCACTCTGACTCACACAGAGTAATGTACACACGAGCGTGCAGGGACTCATGCAGTGTGCAGCTCTCTCTGCTTATATGGCTCAGTCATAAACTCTATCTCTCTTAGTGTCATTAACAGGCACTTAGCTGCAGACTTGACTTTCTGTAGCTCACATACGCACACACTCACACACACCTTCAAGGTTTATATCTGAGTCTACATTCAGGAATCACCTCACCTCTCTGGAGTCTCATGTTGCGTAAAGAGAAGAGAGAGCCAATGGTCACACACACACACACACACACAGTTTTTCTCTTTTTAATTTCTCATACTCATGCATAAACTTATTGTGAGTGGTGTAAGTAAGTACAAGTAACTCAAGTACGAACTTAAGTAATTTGTGCTTTACTTTTTGAGTTTTTCCATTTTATGCTAATTTATACTTCTACTCTACTACAATTTAATAGTAAATATTGTTCTTTCTACTCCACTACATTTATTTAACAGCTTACGCCAAGCCCCCCCCCCCCCTGCCTGAAACCCTCCATTGGACTCCTCTGTTTACTTCCATGACATATAGTGACATCACTAAGTAACAGTCGCGCTTCTATTGGCTAGCGCTCCAACTACGTGAAAAGCTAAGGGGTGGGACTGTGTTTGACCAATCACAATGGAGCCGGCCAGCTAACCAATCAGAGCAGACTGGGCTCTGGTTTCAGACAGAGGGTGAAAATAGGTGCTACAGCACAGGCAGTATGAAAAAAATAAAGAGCTTTTTGAACATGAGATAGTAGAGGAACAAAATACAATTTTGAACCTGAAACTGAGCAGAATATGGTCTCTTAAAATATCTACATACTTCTTCCACCTCTGCTTATTGTGCACATAAGTGTACTATAAGGGCATGGATTGGAGTAGATAACATGGGCATGTGTGAGGGAGGATACAAGTGTAAGTGAGGGCATGTGACTCTGCCAGTGAGGTGGCTGGACCAAATTTGGAAAGTGAATGCATCACATCAAGCGTCTTTGGGTTCAAGAAAAGCGCTATAGAAATACTATTTATTATTATTATTATCTGAAAGCCGTTGTTTTACAAGCTGTACAGCCAAATCAGCTCTTATTTCACACAGGGGACCAGTGTCCTTCTAAGAGATAGCAGAGGACTCTTTACTTTCCAAGTTCTTGTCCTTTCCATTTAAATACCTTTCTGTATGAATAATTACGGATGATTCAAATATTTGCTTGACAAACACAGGCCTAATCTATTTTCCATCCCACATGAATTTTTTTACTAGCCAACTGTTGATATTCAATCCACAGTCAAACCACAGCTTTCTCCAAAATGTTTTAAAAGTCTAGCCTTCACTGGGCCCCAAAGTGCATAAAAAGCAGATGAAATGGTTACTTTCTTCAGAAAACTTCCCAGAGTGTTTCCTCCTCCTATGGCTGCTCGCACCATATATCCTGAGTGACTGGGTGTTATTGGGAGGAATCCCACAGATGGTCCGACTATCAACACTCTATTTCCTCTAACCCTGTAGATATTTAACAGCTGTCCCTAACAAACTTTGGCTCTTTTCTTTTCTCTCTATTTGGAGCGATACTCTAGCATTTACTAAAGTTGTGATTAAGTCAGTGCTTATTAGAAGCGTGCTGTACTGTCACTCTCAGTCTTAAAAAGAATGAATTCTAATTTATTGTTTTGAAAAAGTTATTATTCTCATAAGCAATCAATTTTATTATGTATCAAAAGGCAAATGTAATGATTTATACCAGCAACAGTAACAAATACAAATATATTACATTTACAAAAAACAAAACAGGGAGGGTTCCTTTGAAAATAATGCTCAACTGTTTATATAGTTTCCTTTCAATGGATTACAAATATATAATGTTAGTGATATTGCTGTTAGCATTAGCAGTACTGATTCAGTAGGGTTCAGCATCAGGGTAACCGTGGAAACTGTGTCTTTCCCAAAAAGAAAGACAAAAGGATCTACCGCTAGTCTTGAGCACTGTAAAGATAACCTGTTCAATAGTATTTGCTAGGTGTCTTTAATTGTAGTATTCTCTAAAAACAAGTTGTAGTTATAAAATCCCCTCAAATGTACTAGGTGCCAGGTAAGAAGATATGGTAGAACTGTATCAGGCACAGGTCTAATACATCGGCCTAATGTTGGGCTTTACATCATCTGTTGCTCCACAGTGAAGTACATCCGCGAGGTCTCTCCACTCTTCAAGAAGCCGTCCCTGGTGGCCGACCTGCCGTGGGACGGCGTCCGCCCGCAGTCGCCTAGCTACAGCGGCAGCGAGGACTCCGGCTCGCCCAAACACAGCTCCCCCCCCCCCAAAGACAGGAAGGTCATCAGCCTGAAGATGTGCTTCATCAGCAGGAACCTCACCATGCCAGACCTGGAGAACAGGTACCTCCTCTCTCTGTGTGTGTGTGTGTGTGTGTGTGTGTGTGTGTGTGTGTGTGTGTGTGTGTGTGTGTGTGTGTGTGTGTGTGTGTGTGTGTGTGTGTGTGTGTGTGTGTGTGTGTGTGTGTGTGTGTGTGTGTTTGTGTGTGTGTGTGTGTGTTTATTTATTTGTTATATACTGTATATTTAATTTTTTTTAGGACGTGCGATATTAAGTAGGCAAATTAACACGTCATGTTACAATTATTTTTGCTGCTTCCTACAAAAGGAAAACTCGCGTGGCTCTCATGTCAGGTGTACTTGAGTGAATCAAATCTCCAAAGCAAACGGACCTGGTGATTAAAGGTAAAAACACTGAATAAAGTAGTTTCATGTGTTTCTCCTAGGCAGTTCGGCGCTGCTAACCAAGCTAGCTCAGCTTGTTGCTCCCGTAACTCCAGATCCAGACGTCCGTGACTAAAATCCTTCATCCGGTTAAATATAGTTAGAAAAATACCAATTGTATAGCAAGAAAAGATGGTTTGCGGAAAAAAACAACTGTCTTTTCTTTAATTCCTGTATTTATTCATATCGCAATATATATCGCAGGGGGGGGGAATTGCAATGTCAGTTTTTTCCAATATCGTGCAGTAGGGGTGTAACGGTTCACAGAAGTCACGGTTCGGTTCATACCTCGGTTTGGGGGTCACGGTTCGGTACGGGTTCGGTACAACAAGGAAAAGCAAAAAAAAGTCCCAAATGCATAATTGTTTTTGCTGTTATTTATTTGTAACAGTAGTGCAAGTTTTGGTATGAAAATAAGGAACTGTAACATTTGGAATCATTAACTGTATTACACAGTTAAAAACAAACCACAAACAGTAACACACACACTCAGATGGCCATATTATTTATAATGGCTGATGTCAAACTAAAAGGTTACATAAGCTGTACAACTAAAAAGAATGTCTTGAAAATATTAAAATAAATAATAAGAAAGTGTTTCAATAAAAGGCAATACAGAACTGTATAACATCTCCTGATGTCAAAATATAAAATAAATACAATGATAAATATAAAACAAAATCAAATCTGTACCTTTAGGAGCAATGTCTAACATGTGTAATTAACTGTGAGTGTGTGAGGCCATTATGCCTAAATAAAGGTACTCAAGCTTTACTCTATTTTCAAGTTGTTCTTCAGAAAGATGAGTTTGTCTACGTTGTCAGTAGTGAGGGCAGATCTGTCGGCGGTAACTACGTCACCTGCCGTCGAGAAAACCCTCTCGCTGGGGACTGAGACTGACTCGGATGTGATTGAGCATGTTTGACATGTTACCACTAGCATACCGCACCGCTGTCGAACAACGCCGACACACCGTCCTCGTCCGATCCACAACTCGCACCCCATCATTGCTGTAGTCCACAGGGAACCCGAAATGTTCCCACACAGCTGATTTAAAAGAAGCAGGTGGGTCTTCTAGCTCCTGTGTGTTGTGTGAACTCGCCATAGCTACTAAATGTTCTTCTTCATGTATTGTGTTCGTTTGTTGTGTTTTGTTCTTGTTCTTCATTTGTTATTTACGGGCGGCTGGCTTTTAGGCGCAATACCGCCCCCTGGATTATATATAGTGTAATACTGCCCTGTGCCCTGAGTGACAGACTTTTTTCCCACTCGTAAAAAAAGGCGTATTCGCCGTGTGACTGCATGTGCCGAACCGTGACGTCCGAACCGTGACGGTACGGGACGAATACCGTTACACCCCTATCATGCAGCCCTTGTGTGTGTGTGTGTGTGTGTGTGTGTGTGTGTGTGTGTGTGTGTGTGTGTGTGTGTGTGTGTGTGTGTGTGTGTGTGTGTGTGTGTGTGTGTGTGTGTGTGTGTGTGTGTGTGTGTGTGTGTGTGTGTGTGTGTGTGTGTGCGCCACATTGCTCTTTGTTCTTTGCTCTTTGTTAAAATTAGATCTGTTTGCAGACAGTCCTACAACCAGTGGCGACTGGTCATTAGGCACAGTGGCAAGCCGTGACTTTTATACCTAGGCCCTCTGACCCCCCTTCCCTCGAAAAAAAAAGAAGAGATATTACGTCACAGCTATACTTCAGCGGAATATCAAAACAGCGGCCCGGGGTGCAAAACGCATCAATGGCAGCGACCCTCTTCCACACAAAACAACACCATTTATATAAACACCTATCATGACAGGGCACCCACAGCCAAGTAACAATTACAAATGAATTAAGTCGGCACGGCGGCCCGCATTGAAAATGACTTAGGCCTACCTTTGGTGATCAAATCACTCAAACACAAAGTCCATCCTCCAGTCCTTTTGGATGAAGCACTTGCTTCAGCTGATCCTTTGCCACTCCAGTTTATCATTGTAACTCAATCTTGAAAATGACTCGGTTAATAATTTCGCAACGATGTCATCACTATCACTGAAGTGAGCCATCATGAACGAATTTATGCTAATCATAAATCTATCGATCATAAATCTATCGTTTAGATTTATGATTCGAAGATAATAAAAGTAGGGTAGACATGTGGATATTATCCGGCTGAACAAAACGTGCATTTATCAAACAGGTTCATTTTCCACAGACCTTATTTCGAGCTATTTTCCAAAATCCTATGGAGAAATCCCACTGCTTTCTGTCGAGGGAATCCGAGCGCAGCTTACTTCCGGGTTTTAGGACGCGTCACTGCACCACTTGCATAGACCTCACAGCGGGCGGAACTTGTCATAAAGTCCGCGAAAATAGTGCCCGCCCATTTAGAGGGAAGATATGATTGGTCAATCGTACTGTCATTTGACATTACTCTCTCATTGAGTTACTATAGCGGGCCCTCTGTGAATGTAGAGAGGGACCAACAAGCTCTCCCGTCTTCACATAACTCGCAGAGACGGCATGTAACCCTTCACATTCCAACAGAAACTGAACAGGCAGATTCGAAGGATTTATTTCTTTGGAAATGTTATTTTAAATACAATTAAATCAAGTTATTTTGGTGAAACTAATGAAAAATGTAACAACAAAAAAGATATGAAAAATAATATTTAAAAAAAAATGTTTTTTTTGTAATGTTTTCAAATATTTTTTTTTAGAATATCTTAGGCCCTCACAGAGGGCCTAGAGGGCCCTGACGGCTCGCCACTGATTAGGCACAGCCCCACCTGTCAGCAGAAAGTAATTAAATATTAATTTTAGAAAATGCAAAAAAATACATCTTAAAATATATTTTAAGATCATGTTTAATCATCTGATTCGTCTGTACTCTGTACACTGCTGTTTTAGTCTGCGTTCTTCTAATTAGTGTCTACAGTGTGCCTATTGAGCCGTTTTGAGCGATGTGGGGCAAGCGATCTAGCCCCTCTCTCTGCTGTCAAAGTGAATGGGTGCTATAAAAACTACACTGCGCATGCTCAGTCTTTTTCTATTCAATGTGTGCAGAAAAAAATAATCACCATAGGGGCACTGTGCTGGCATCCCCACCAAACGTCATCTCACATAATTCAGAGCTGATCGCGAAAATAGTAGTTGTGAAGAGGAGACGAGAGAGAGCAGCGTATAGTGATTACAATCAGTAAAACGGAAAGAAAATGAATGAAGTTGACCATCTACTTCAGCTTTGGTAAGTTCATTTTATGTCATATATTTTGTTGATCTTCTGTCATGTCTCGGAAACTATTATGATAGTTTATTCTTTATATTAGTTTTATCATGTCCCTTTGTCCTGTGCTTGCTGTTTATTTTGAGTAGTAATTCTCCCTCTCGTTTCAGGTCTCCATGCTCCCCGCCCCTATGTGTCTCCTGCGTTCGTGATTGTTTACCCCGCCCTGATTGTTTCCACCTGTGTCCCTCACCTTGTGTATATATTGTGTTAGTCCCCACCTGTCCAGTGTCAGTTTGTTTCTCATTCATGACTACGTTCAAGCCTGCTCCATGGTCGTATCCCGTTTCTCATGCTCCTGGTTATTGCATTTAGTTTTTCCTCGAAAGAGTGATTTTGTGTTTCTTGTTTTGTTACTGTGTTAAATCCAGTAAAGTCTTTATTTTTGAAAACCACCCGAGTCTGAGTTGTGCATTTGAGTTCATGCCTCTGAGTTCACCCCTTGACATCTTCTGTGTTTTGCCTATAGGCTATTGCTCTGCTGGATCGATTGATATTGTGACGCGGTATTGTTAACATGGCCCACCAGTGCAGAAATACCCGGATGTTGACAAGCAAGCCTCTATCACGACTTTTAGTTCACTACAACACACATTTTTGTGGAGAATACGAAGATTTTTTCAGTTCTTGTCAATCAAATGTATATGTACTACGTATGTTACTAAAGAGGTTTTAGATTGGCCAGTGTCCATGTGAAGTTATCGTCATCGACTCTCTGCATGAAAACAGTATTTCCCGTGTCGGTGTTTTCATAGTAACGTGGTTGCTAGGGACGCAGCTCTCGCTGCCGGAAATGAGGATTCTCGTCACATTCTCACTCCCAACTCGTCCTATATGTCAGGATCCCTTAGCATCACTATCAACGCAGTGGGGGGCCCTTTAGCGTCGATGTTCAACTATCAGGGAGTCCCATTGACTTGCATAGAGCGACACCCCCCCCCTCTCTCTATCCTATCGGAACCATGGATAGCCAGCTATTTGTTTACGTGTTTAAAAAAGCACCCGAAGCTTATATATAATTAAAACTGCGATCGCACATGTGCAGTGATGAGCGGGCCCTCGCGGCCGTGCGCCTGTCGGGGAGGGCAGCCGGTCGTCCCGGCGTCAAGCAGACGCTCGCAAGTCCTGGAAAATTAGCCATTTCTCATTTCTATAATTTTCGCGTCCCAGACTCCCTGGTCCTCCGGCAGCAACCCGGAAACGGATGTCGGCGCGCCGTCTCGAAGGAAAACAAATTTCTCTAAAGGGTCGTCGAGGATCGATTATCGAGGAGGCTGTCTGGAGGAGCCGTAACCGAGGATACACTGATTTAGAGGAGAGAGGAGTCTCTCTGGAGGACCTATAACCGAGGGTAC